GAGCTGTTTCTTGGTCCATGGTCCACAATGGATATTGCTCCCCAACTACATTAGTCAATCGAGTGGCCAATTCTTTAATTAAATAAAATTTGTAGATATTACTAATCGAAACTACCATTAAATATAACTTTGACCTTTTTTTTACTCATCTTTAGATATTCTTGGAACTTACGTAGTTTCCATCTCACCCCTTTCTTTTGTTCCTTGAAGGTGGGTCCAATCACAAAAGTTATCTTATATCTTTAGTATTTTGGTACAAAACAAATAATTATATAGGTTGACAAAAAATCATAGTTACATAGTACAGTAATTTACCAGCCATACTGATCATATCAATTTGAAATCACCCAGAATAAGATTATTGGAATAAATTTATATGAGCACTCTCCTTTAGATCTAACATAATGCTTGGGTATGGTTTTTAGCTTTAGATTGATCAGTTTCGAATTGATGTACCAAGTGAATATGACTTATAGTATAGGAATCTTTAAGAGTTTGCTTTTCAAAAAATAAGTACGATTTTTATTTAGGAAGGATGTTACTGAAATTTGTTCGACACCAAAACAAAATTTGGGATATAATAAGAGTGTGAAATTAGGGACTAATAGTGATGTTCAATTAAAATTTGTGATTAATAATCTAGGAACTTTATGGATTGCTTATTGATTTTTATGACGATCGGATGTGTCGATGTCATGGATTTTGAAGCTATTAAATATTAGTAATCGCTTAAACTTGCGCCTACCATTCAAATTGCATAGAAGCTTATACATTGAGATCAAATTGCTTAATATTAATTTTATTATGAAAATATAATTAAGAGCTATATGGTACTTAATCTCATCACCATCAAGCTAACAAACTAAGAAATACCTGCTGGTTTTCGAATAGCCTATAATACTACTAATAAATACCTGCTGGTTTTCGAATGAATTTAATTAGGCTCACATATGTTTCATTTACAGAGAATTACTCAAGTGTTTTAGGAGTAGAAGTGTAGAACCAACTATTGTTTTAGTTAGGAGTATGTTTCTTAAAAATATAATCAAGGAATCAGAATTTCGTGTTGCATTATTGACGGGCATAAATTATATCTACTGAGTGTATTAAATCATACAAAGCATTTATATGTCTCTATATTTCTTGGACACACATGCAGTTAATGTGCAATATGCACAACACAT